CTGGTCTCCTTCCAGGAACTTCTTATTCTGGTTTCGTACTGCACTTGGACTTTCCACAGGGCTTCGCATCTGATTATGGCCCCATAGGTTACAGAAACAAATTATTTTAATTTGTCTCCAGCCTGACTCGAACCGTTGACCTTGTCTGTGGGGGGTTTGGGAGCTTAACCAATAAGCTATAGGACCCAAACTCACAAATTTATTTTATGCTAAGCTTAGATAAAGCTAAATTTATATAAATATCTTTGATATAATTTTATAATCTTTTAATACTTTAAAAAATCTATTAGAAAGATTTGTTTCATCATGATGTCTACTTAATAACCTGAAGTCAATTAATATTTCTTGAAGGGTCCAATTGCTATCTATATAATGAGCTGTAGCAGAAATAAAGGCCTTGTTGTTAGGAGATGTTCAAAGGTCTGATATAAAGGAAATTCTAGAATTTATAGCAAAAAAGTATGTCTATAGCACTGTAAGTATTAGTGAATAATAAATAGATATATATAAAATATAAATAAAATAAAATAGCTTCAATCAAATAAAAATAATAAATAAATAATTTAAATAAATAAATAAAAAATATCAATAAATAAATAATTTAAAAATATAATTTGATAGAATTTGTAAAAAAATAGATATATAAACTTATACAATAAGCTTTTCAATTAAATTTAATATGATATATTGATATAGTACATTATACTGTTATGATATAAAAATATAAATATTAATATTTAATAAAATATTTCACTGGCACTCTAGATTCCTAAGGTTAAATTAAAATAAATTAAAAAAAAACAAAAAATAAAATAAAAAAAATAGAAAAAAAAGAATTAAATTAAAAAATAACAATTATAAGCTTGCCTTTAACTTCTTTTTCCTCTAAAGACCAAACGTTGGTTGATATTGATAATATAAAGCTTCGCAATATGTTTTTTGCCTGGATTATTAATCGTCAATGCTCATTTAATATAATTGAAGACCCTGAATTAATTGAAATTATAAAATATTTAAATCTCGCAGCACAGTTAATTAAAGCTGATACAATTAAAGAAGCAATAATGTCACATTATGATTCAGGGACAATATTAGATTAACTTAAAATTAATAATAATAAATCAATAAAAAAAAATAAAAAAGGAAAGAACTAACTAGGGTTCTGAAGTGCCAAGCACGATACTATTAAAACATAATGCCTGTACCAGATATTATGTTTTAATAGTATTGTGCCTGATACTTGCAGAACTCTAAAGCTAACCTTTTTAAACATATCTTCTACAGTACCACATTCACTTTGTGTCTTTCTTTTTTTTTTATTAAATTTTTCTGTCATAATATACTGAGTCCAGTATATACTTTCTAAGTAGCACCATAGTGGCTTGGTGGTGCCTCACTTTCTACAAGAAAACTCATCATGTTTGCACTTTGATACTTTACATTTAGCTGTTTTTTTTTCTTTTGCTATACAACCTTTCTAAAAAAATCCTATACCTCACTTCCATTATTTCGCTTGCTAGTTGTACTACAATTATCATCAGTATCATTACCATAGTCATTACTATGGTCATTACCATGATCATTATCATGGGCATTACCATGATTATTATCATAGGCATTACCATGGTCATTATAGAAGATGTTCAATGTAACTTCTTCTAATTCCATAAATATAAAACTTATTCGTTGACTAATTTTTTTTTTCTTACTTAACCTGATTCAATTTACTTTTCTAAAAATAATTGCCTTTTAAATTATTTAAATAATTGCCTTTTAAATTATTTAAATAATTGTCTTTTAAATTATTTAAATAATTGCTTTTTTTAAATTATTTAAATAATTGCCTTTTAAATTATTTAAATTATCATAATCAATATTATACTAATTATTGTTATTATAATAAATATACTTTATCAATCTTTTTAATATGCAATACAGTTGTTGACTAAATAAGAGAAAAGTATGTAAGTTAAAGCTCTATTTATAAGATAGTATGGGTTATAAAGTTTATTGTTATTATAATTATAAAATATACTTATCTTTTTAATACACAATACAGTTGTTGACTAAATAAGAGAAAAGTATATAAGTTAAAGCTCTATTTATAAGATAGTACAGATTATAAAGTTTATCGTTATTATAATTATAAAATATACATATCTTTTTAATACGCAATACAGTATGTTGACTAAATAAGAGAAAAGTGTATAAGTTAAAGCTTTATTTATATAATAATACGGGTTATAGTTTATTAGACTCAATTCCTGAAAAGTTTTCAAAAATTGAGTCTACTAAACTTTATACTGCAAAATCTTTTTTTTTAATATTTCATATTTGAACCCGAACTTGTTCATGAACTTTGAACTAAACCCGAACCAAATTTATTACTGTGTTCGAGTCTGGTTTGAGTTTGGAAATTACAAGTTTGAGTTTGGATTCGGGTTCGAAGTTAGTAAAATTTACTGTTCGAGTTTAGTTCAAGTTCAGATTCAACCTGAACCAAACTGAACCCGAACTGAACATAGGGACTCTATCGACAATATACCTACTTTTGTAAAACCAAAAATAGGTTTACCATGGTATCTTTTATAATATTTTTTTTATAGTTTAGGATTTTAAATTATTGGTCAAATGATTATTGGGAAATATTAAATTTTGCTAATTGATTTAAATATTTTATATTTGCACTATATATATTTTTTTTTTATAATTTAGCTATTTTGCCCTTATTTTATTTGAGACTTAATTATTTAGTGAATTTTTACAAATTTACATCTATGACCATATAGTCTAAGCAAAATAAAGGCTCACCAATACTATGCCAATGTATAAGTACCAATGCGGCCTGCCTTAGTAGTATTCAGTCTCCTTCTGGGTCTTCAGATTACAAAAGACTTTATTCTCATCAGTCAACAGCTAGCAGCTACTCACTTATCAAGAAACAAAGAACAAAAAGAAAACAAATACTAAAACAAAAAGAAAACACTGAGATATAGGGAAATATGATAAAAAAAACAAATATAAAAAAAAAGGGGTATAGAAGTAGTGAAAAAAAACAAACAAAATTTGCATTCTAATACTACAATTATAAGCCTGTGTCAGGCTTGTAAAAATTATATGCTACTAGATAAACTAGTTTCTACTCTAAATCTAACTAATTAGTATATCTAAATAAAATTCTATAAGAAAAAACTTTATCAACTTGAATCCAGAATACTTTTTCTCTGCTATACAAGATTAAACAGAGGGTCTTCTTTATAGTCAACTAGTCATTATTAAAAGTTATTTTCTTGAATCTGTCACATAAAGCCTTCATTCTTAACAGATAATATCCAGATTGTAGAGAGGTCAGAAATGTGTCTCAGAGTATTGTTTGTACAGATTGTTGGGTATTCAAAGTATATATATTCACATATTTGTTGTCACAGATCTGATTCATCTAATTTAGAAATAAACAATGCTGACTAATTTGATGTATGTGATATCAATCTTTGGAGGGGGTAAGCTAAGATGCCTATTTTTTACAAAAATTTCCTTGACAAAAAGTGATAGATCAACAGATATATGTAAGGTTCTTCTTGTAAATTTTATAGTTATATAGTCTAGTTTCTAAGCTTTTACTAAACTTGATGAAAGCTTAGCTACTTCCTGTTTCTAGAATAAACTTTCTGGTTTGGATACCAAATATCTTAAGGAGTTTACTAGAAGAAAACTTTATTCAAGAAAAACTACCAAAAAATGCCTGCTTCTGGTATATCACATTTGACTTAGGCTTTGTTGACAACAGTTTACTTAATGTAGGACCAAGAGTAGTATCTACTTAGTTACTTTTCTATATATTTTTGTTGTAGTTTAGTTTTATTGTTGTTGACCAAGAGATTGTCAGAAAAAGTTTTGTTAAATATGATTGCTAGATTTTTTAATTTGTACTATATATTGATTTTTTGTTTTTCTACTAAGTTAATATCACTTTCTCTATTTTTTTTTTTTTTTTTACTAAATATGTTTTTCTTAAGACAAAGAATTATATTTTCTTGATTAGTGCTCTTTTTTGGTTTTTTTTACAAAAAGAGTTTGAATTTTTACTTTTTTTTAATTTAATTTGTGCTTCTAATCTTAAAAGTATTAGGTAGCCTTTGGCTGCTTGCTGAGTCTTTCTAGTTATTATATAATTTCTTGTAGTATTAAGTAGTATTTATTTTTTTTTGCTATCAAACTGCCTGCTTCAGATATGTATTTGTGGTATAGATTTCTGTTATTTCTTGATTTAGTATAGTTTTTTTAATTTTTTTGTTTTTTTTTTTTAGCAATCCTGCTTTTATTATTTAAATCGAAAATACTAGAACTTTATATTTATATTAAATATAAATTTTTTATACTATATTCCTGTACTAATGAAAACTCATTCAACTATAAAAACTCAGGTACAATCTGCCTAAGCAGCCAATTTACTTCACATTAGATCTTCAACTTACTGAGGATTTAATCTCTCTGATCTTTAGTTGGAAGCTGCCAACTTTGTTAATAATCACTAAATTCTTTTCAATATGCTATAGCTAAGACCTTGATTTGTAGTTTGATTACAAATATCCTTAGAAACTACTCTATTAGTAAGAATTATATATTTTTCTTTATCAACCATCTTTTCTAAATTATGTGTCATTTTTTCTTTATTTTTCTTCTTTTTCTATAGCTTGTTAAGTTTTTCTATTTTTGTAATCTTTTGAAGGGTCTTCTTTTTCTTCTTTTTTTTTGATTCTTTTAGCATAGTTTCTTTTCTTTCTTCTTTTTCAGACTTGCATTTAGGCTCGAATTTGTCTTCATTATACTAGGGCTTAAATTCATCTTCTCTTTGATGATCTGGCTTGTTTTCTGTAATCTTGTAACTCTAGTTTGTCTATTGCTTCTTCTTAATTTTCTGTTGCTTTGATTCGTATATTTCTTTTCTAAATATATCTTCTCTTTTCTTTGGTTTTGTTATTCTAATCTTCTAAATTAGTTATATACTGTTTTTTTACTTTTATTCTATTTGTCCACTCTGCTTTTTTTTTTCTTTTTTTTTGAAAATTCTTTTTTTTTATCGAGAGTTGTTACTTTTTGTGTATTGTTATTTTGTGATTCTATCTTTTCTCTAGATGCTTCTCTTTTTCTAATTTATTGTTCTTCTTATTTTTTTTAGTAAAGCCTTGGTGCTCTTTTTTGTTTCTTTTCTAGCTGTTTCTATCTTTTAGTATTAGGTGATATACTTGTTTCTTTTCTTTAAGTTTTTTTTTCTTCCATTTTTAGGTTCATATTTCTTTTTGCTTTGTTGTATTTTCTTTTGTGCTAGGTTCTAGATTATTCCAAATTTTTTCTGAGTTGTTGTTTTCTATGATTAGATTCTAGTCTTCTTGTTTTTTTCGCAGCTTCTCCAAGATCCTTTATAAATCTTGTATTTCTACTATATTTTTTGCATTTAGTATTTCTCTATAAATCATATTTTGCTTTGCTCTAATTATACTATGTTGTATTTTCTTATTAATTTTTTCTAAAACTTTCTTTATTTTAATATTTTCTATATTATTTCTTATGATTTTCTTTGTTTCTGTCTTTCTTAGCCATTTCTGGTTTTCTTTCTTTCTTCTTGCAAGTTTTCTCAACGTTTTCTTTGCCTTGAACTTAAATTTTTTGACCAATTCTTGTATCATTTTCTTGTTTTTTTTGACTTGTTTGTTTCTTCTCTACTTGTTTAGATTTTCTATATAACATTTTTCTAATCTTTTCTTATATTATTTCTTTTGTAATAATAAGCAGTCTATCATAATATTTAGTGTATAGAGATCTTGGTTTGTAATATTTGACAAAAAGGCCTCAATTTGCTTTACACAATAAAGTTGTAATATTTGTAATCTAAATCTTTTTCTGTATCTTTTCTATAATATTTTTTATATTTTTTTTTATATTCTTCTAACTTCTTTTTGTCTACTTCTGCTAATAGATTCTCTAGTGCATATCTTGTTGCTGCTAAATTTGTTATTCTCATTTATTTCTAAAAATTTCTTTTTCAGTTTGCTTTATATGATTTGGCTTTTCTATTGTTGTTGTTTTTTTTATTGTATTC